TTTGAAGGAGGGAGTCCAAGTAACCCACAAATCAATGTCTGAAATCGTGAACAACACGCAGCAAGTAAGCCAAATATATAGATACGCCACAGAGGCTAACATTAGAAAGAAGAAACAGACTCATGAATCAATCGAATCAATCACATACCATGAAACCAAGCAACAAGACATCATAATGGTAAGCAGATGGATTTTTGAGATTAAACTCCTTCTGTTGTGCCATCTGCGAAGCTACGCTGTGGTCAAAAAAATACAATCCGGCTATCATAACGGCTGGGATTAAGGCAGCAAAGATGTATGTCAAAGGAACCTTCCCCATGTCCTGCAATTTGAGCGTGTGAAACACATTGTTATAGATCACACCGGTAATTTAAAGCTGGAATGATGTTTCGCCAAATACTAGGACAAATAATTGTTCTGTCAAGCACTCCACAGACTCACAGGAAGAGAAGCCCCACAGCTGAGGATATGAATCCTGCAGTCTGAAGACTTCGGAACTAAACATTTCCGAATATCCTCGGAAATAAACTACCCAATGGAAACAACAATTCGCATGATTATTACCTTTATTACTGTCCAATGGTGCACTGATTCAGCATCCGAAAGAAGCGGAACATGAACTCTCCTAGGAACCCCAGAAGGAACTTCGCTGGGTCTGACATAAGACAAAGCTGTCCACAACACGACCATTAGGGGAACTCCATAGTCTGCAATAAAACCTCGGATCCACCCTGCAAGAATGGAACAAAAGATTAAGATAAGTAAATCTTAAACCAATTTTCTTCTGTTAATCATCCACCAACAAGCTGCAGCTCATTACCTGTGCCATATCGCCATGATCTTGCCCTGCGGCTTTTAAGGGCAGTGAACAATACACCCAATGAGAAAATTACAGAAAGCAACCCATTTGCATACCGCCACTGGAATTGGTACTTCTCCAGTTTTGAACTTTCATCTTTAGGAATATTGAATTCACTAATCACTCCCTGAGGTATAAAAATTAACACTGTCAACCTCATTATACTGCAAATTCTACCATGAAAAGAACAATCACAAACCAGTACCTTAACAGCCTCTTGAATGAAAAGAACTGAAATCAGCATGCCAAAAAGCTCCCCTGCTATCCTTGTAAATTTAAAGATGATGGTAGCTGCGTTAAAAATTGCAAGAAGAACTAGAAGGAGTGCTGTCCAGACACAAACCCTGTGAAAACAGTTAAAAAAAGAGAGAATCAATAACAGCACATATGCATATTCAATGACTCTAAAAAATCCTTAAGTTTCTTAAGTCCTTACCAACCAGCCCAAGCTAGAAACAATTTCTGCCCCAAATCTTCCCTTCCTTTGCTGAAATTGTACAGATAGGTGTACATTATAACAGTAGGTTCTGCAACCCCTAGAATCAGCAATGGCTGTCCACCTAAAATTGAGTGGATTAATCCACAAATAGCAGTAGAAGCTAAGGTTTCCACAGTACTCAAGCTTCCATCTAACAAAAAGCAAACACAATCTTCATCATCATCACAACACATGATACACCTTAAACTATCCTCAGAACATAAAATACGTGCGCGCGCGCGCGCGCATATGCTACTATGACTAATTGGTTTTGACCCTATTGATTCTATAGCTTTTAAAATTAATCTTCCAATTTGAGAAAAAAAAATATTATTAGAGAATAATTACCTGTGTCTCTACTTAATTGCTCTCCAAAGGCAATTACAGGAAGTGCAGAAGCAAAGAAGATATAGAAAGTTGGAGCCAAAATTCTTAATCCTGAACACAGTCCACTAACCCAATCATCCTTATAACATGCTGTTCTCCCTCTTACATCTTTTATTATTCCCTTGAATGGACTCTTCATGTTCTCCATTTTCTAATGCAAAAAACCATCAACCACGGTTACATTCATCAACCTTTTTATGTAAAAGAAAGAAAGAAGATAAAAGACCAGTTGAGCATACTTAATAAATTTGAGTCAAATTACCATAATATATCTTGAAATAAAAGAAAATTAACGAATCTTAAAATCACTTTTGTAACAACGTCCTCGTTAATTCTCAAAAATAAATAAAAAGCATCCCTAAATTCATTAGCATTGAATGCATTTATGATGAAATTCTTCAACATGGTCAAGAAAATATTTATCAAGGGCATGCATGCAAACATGCATATATCGTAATATGCATCGCTTTCTTTTATTAAAACCAACCATGCATGAAAAAAATGATATACAGTAAAACGTTTTTACTTACTAAAGATGCAAAAAAAAATGAAGAAAATGAAGGAAACTGTCAGTTCCGGAGGAGGAGGAGGAGAGGTGGTGATCGGAATGTTGTCAGCTGGGCCTCGTTAAATCTTCTTTCTAAAACTTGATATTTTCCCTCTCTCCGAGAGCGAGGGGGAGAGAGGAATTTGGGGCGAGGTGAGTCGGGTGACAAGAAACGAAGAAAGGAAGGTGTTTTCAAGTTCTCAAAAAACCCAGGAGAGTTTGATGGGGCCCAACCTGATGTGGGTCCTACATAATCAGGGGAATAGCTTACGTGGTTGAAACTCATTGGTTGTATTGGTCAACCGGAGGAACCGCGTTTTTTAGCTTGTGTCAGTTCATTTACTGTTCATTGTAGAAAACAAATTCAACATGGATTTGTTTGGTAGCTCCGAATTTCTTTTTTTTTCTTCTTTTTTTTTTTTGGGATTTCCGGTCATCACCGCAAGTTTAAATGTATATGAAGAATAAATTATTTTTCTTGATCTAATTTTTATATAATTTAAAGAGGATAATAAAAAGTTTTCTAGAAGATATTTTTAGTTTAGCAATCCATTATAAAATAAAATTCAAAACTTAACTTATTAACCTGCTAACTCGAGTTTTAATTATTGAAAATATACAGTAATTTTATATTATCACAAAATATCATTTAAACTTAAAAAAAAAACAATGATAGTGTTTTATGATTTTTTTATTAAAAAAATGATTTTCTATAAACCCAAATCAATCAATGACTCATTACTCAAGTTGTGAGCTAAATCAATTACGAAGTCTCATGATTCAAGCTTTGGATTCCTTTTCAGATGAAAAGTTATAAATGTAATAATGTTAAACACAAGATTATAATTGAGTTATTGAATCAGAAAGTCAAAGAAAATAAATTATTCTTACATTGCTTGTATGTAATTGTGTTGTGAATGTAGTGAGGAGCATAATGGCGCTGCTTAATGATATGGTGCAAGCTATGTTTCCTATGGCATGGCATGAAGTTAGGCAGAAGGCTCTCATGAAACCGTGTGAAATTGAATCATTGGTCAAAACTGTAGAATGTTGAGATGGGCTTTTGTTAAGAGCTAGCCAACTTTGGTTTTGCAACCTTGCTGGACAAGCGAGAGAGATGACAAGGAAATGGAGGGTCCTAGAGGCCATGTTTTGCTGGACAGACGAGAGAGTTGACAAGGAAATGGAGGGTCCTGGAGGCCATGTACGTAATTTCCTTATGATTGCGAAGCACATGCACTCTCTATAGGCATATTTCATGTGATTAATTAATTTTTTGTATGTTTTTATTTCCCATGTGCAGTGTCCTCCGACAAAAACGATCTGGGAAATCTGGATTTTCTACCTTGTAGCCATTGTTTTCTCTATTCTAGGTGGATATATAGAGCCATGTAGAGTTATCACAGCAGATCCAGGCTACAGGAATAACAAAATAAGAGGCCATTCATTGCCTGAACTTGCTTTGAACTTGAAAACGATTCTCATTCCATGCAAGCTATCGTGCATGAAATGACAAGAGAATACATTATGATAATACAGAAGATTCAGGGAAATTAAGAAAAAATTGCACCTGTCAAAACTCTCAGCTGCTAGAATTCCCTGTGTGTTGAAAAGGGAGTAAACAAGACAGTAATCGTAGATAGAAAGTCAGTGTTCTACGTGTTTTCTTGTTATGGGGTGTGTGTCGCATGCATAGAAGCATCAGGCATTGTCCCTTTTTTAAATACGAACTTAGCAAACCTAACCCGTCGCCGACCGGCTAGCATTCGTTTTTGTCTATAACGTAGGAGATCTTGTAGCTAAAGTTACAGGATACAGATAGTATGGTAGGGTTTTGGGGCTACCCATGGACGGATGTGGCCGGCAATGCGGGCACTAGCTACACTGCCCAAAAAAAAAAAAATCAGATGAAGTGTATGTCATGCCAAAATTTAAAACGTTGAATGGATAAAAAAAAAAAAAGAGATTTGTTTTGAGAATAAAAAATAATTTTGAGAAATTATAATGAAAATGAAAAATAAAAGTTAAGTAAAAACTACTTAATAAAGTGTTGGTGTAAATTTAGGATAAAAATCGATAACGTTACCATAAGATTTGAAATAAAATAAATAAAAAAAAAATATATTTTGAAATAAGAGAATGATCTCAATGACTAAATAGCTGATATGGTTATAGCAATGATTGAATAAAAAAATTTGAATTTTAATGTAAAATCACCTCCTAATTTTATATTATCAAATATAACTCTTAATCTAGTTATCGTATTAGACTGAAATCTTATAAAAAGCTTATTGACACATTGTTTTATCTTAGATTAAAATTTAAGGTAATTGAAATTTGGAAAAATCACGCAGGAATATCAAGTGTTAGGCAAAAAAATAACATGTCGCTAGGCTCATTAATGGTATTTTTGTAAATAAAATGGAAAAACTAGGAATTTAATTTTTTCTTCTCCTTTAAAATGTTGGCCACTGCTAAAAATATTAGAGTAAAACAAATATGAAGCTTTCTCACTAAAACCCTAGAAGAAAAACCAAAATTTAAGAAAAGATAGATGATGGAATGAGTATTGAGCATCTCTAACTTAAGAATTATGCAAAAAGTTAAATAGAGAGAGGAAACTCATAACATTAAAAAAAAAAGAGGAGCATAAAAATTTGTCTTGTTAATATTCGATGTTTATGTCATTATTGGGCAAGATAGTATAAACTTCATTGCATAAATTTAAGTAAAGATTAAAAAAGTTTAGGCAAAAAATTTAAATTTTGAATTAAATTTTATATATTAAATCAAGAAAAAGTTAATTATGATGTTGTTGGGATAAAATAAGATGTAAATAACTCTAAATAAAGCATAATTAAAAAAGAAAAATTGAGTATTTATGATGAAAATATGGTTGGTCATTTAGGGGGGTTGAGAACTTTTGGAATCACAGTAAATATTTGTTAGTTATATGTATTTAATATGTGTTGTTGTGTTGATAGGAATTAAAATGGATTTAATTATGTTATTTAATTATAATTGAATTTTCAATATAACTTAAAAAAAATATGAAAAGTTGATCAAATAAATAATTCATAGTTATTTGTTGGGTTGTGAAATATGAAATAAATGTTATGATATTAAGATAGTGCAAGAATGATTTTAGAATGTTTTGACGTAGTTCATTCTACATGTAACTAGGAATGAAAAAAAGTTGTAAGTCCGTCATGTAATCAAATCCATCATGTATAATTAATTGGTTATTTATGTTGAAATAAAAAAGATATTTAAAAATATTAACAATGAAAAAATTGATCCTATAATATTTTTAACATATAAAATCCTATAGAGATTATGAAAAATAAAATAAAATTTTATAGAGTATCTTCTCGATCATGATACATGTAAGCTTATAATATTTAGATTTCATAGAAATTAGAAAAATTAAAATAAAATTTTACGTAGCATCTTCTTATGATATATATATATATATATATATATATATATATTATGTAAGCTTATAATATTTGGATTTCCTTAGAGATTATAAAAAATAAAATAAAATTTTATAGAGCATCTTCTTATGACATATAAAAGCTTATAATATTTGGATTTTTCAGGTCTCAATTAATTTAGTTATATATTTATATTATCTCCCCCGAATTGCATCCTGGATCGGTCTCTGGCTATACCTAACCAGATTTTTGCCACTTCATTTCAGCACTGACTGGCCTCAAAGTTTATTGTAGTGCAGTACTACTTGTAGCTTTCAAGGATGATACATATTATTAGCTAGGAAGAATCATTTGACTCCAAGTTTTATAATCATTCTGAGCTTTTTCATGGAACTATATATAAAATAGACAGGCTACAATCCATGTGGGTTCCTACGATGTCGATACTTCAGCATCAGCACATATTCCGATGACCGTCACGGCCATTGACTTGCTAGGTCATCAAGAAGAGAAAAAAACAAAAAAAAACAATGAGCCTCCTGTTCAAATGCTCTGTTTATTTTTGTTTTTTAACCTCCTGTAGCCTTTGTCAAATGCTCTGTTTATTTTTGTTTTTTAATTTTTTTTTTTTAACTTTAAGTTAATATTTTTTAATATATTTAGATATTTTAATATAATAATATTAAAAAAATATTCTCGAACTTATATCATAGCTTAGGCATTCTTAGACTTCGTCCGCACCAGGACGCCTGTTTTGAGTCCTGTCGAGCTTGTAGAGCTCGAGGGATGTAACCAAAGGAATCCTCCACCAGGCTAGTCTTGGCATTTAGTATAATTAAAAATGTTGCTTATTTTAATAAAGATTAAAAAGAAGATGAAAGGTCAACTATAAACACCTATGTTACATGCGGTTCATCGTTGGTAGATTTTTTGTTCAATAAAAAAATAAATATATATTTTTTTCTAACATGTCAGTGTCAATGACAGACTAAAATTCTCATACATGCATCTAATAATTAAATAAATTTATATTGAATTAAAAAATAAGTAAAATTAAGATATTTGATGTTATAAAAAATTTGTTAAAAGACTATTCTTATAGAAAGGAAGGAAATAATGAAGAAAAATTCTCAATAATAATAAATATCAAGGGATTAAATTAAAAAAAAACAAAATAAAATAAAAAACATTCAAAACAAAATAAACAACAATAAAAAATAAAGATTAAATTTAATATAAAAATAAATTAAAATCAAATATTTAGTGATGAAATTGAAACAAAAAAGATATAAAAATTAAAAACCAAACTTAACATGAAATCAATTTAAAGTAAATAAAAAATAAAATTAAAAATAATCAATCAAAATAAAAAAATAAAAAAAATAAAAATAAAAGCTGGAGTCAAAATTGAACACCATTCACTGACCCAATCATCCTTTGAAGTTGGTGTCGTAAGAACGCCACCGCATGTGCTACCCGAAAAACATGGGTCGTGTCCATTCACTTAGGCTTACTAAGTCATGTATTAAGAACTTTTTTTTTTTTTTATTTACGTGGGGTGTCCGGGCCAGCTTGCGCGCACCACGACTAATCTCCACGGCCCACTGAATATCCTGCAAACCCAGTAGGCATGTAAGGCACCGCGGGGGTGACAGACGTGCATGCTAGTGCTTGAACCCAGGTGCAGTGGAAGGAGACAAGCCCCTTCCACCGCTAGGCCAAGCTCTAGTTTGCATTTAATTTATATTTATATTAACTTTTTTCTTTAATTTATATTTACTAAAAAATCAATCAAAGTGCCCTTAGCCCTCCAACGAATAACAAGATGAAGAAAATGAAAAAGCTCCTAGAACGAAGCTTTAATTTTTTTTTATCCTGAGAGTAGCTGCGTAACTTCAATAAAAGCCCTTCACCAACCTACTTTTACATAAATAAAATAAAATAAAATAAAAAATATCATTGTAAAAATACAAAAACACCCGTTACCATTAGTGAATAAAATTTAATTTCTAGAGATAATTTAAACGTTTTATAGTGTATATGAAATCAAAAAGAAAACACCCATTGACACCAGCTTTAAAATTTTTAATTCTAGAGATAGCGAAGTCCTTTTACAATGCATAACAAATGTAGAGAAACCAAATTATCCCTTTTCTTTGTTTCCGTGAATGGATGTATTCCATGGAAGGAGGACTCATCGAGGAGAAAACAGTGATATCAAGATGAATGCAATGACAGATGCTCTCAATGTTACATACATGCCTTTTCATTTGTCAATTCTATACAATTGAAAATCTAATTTTACGTTAATAACTCATAAACCAACTGCAGGTTACACAAAAAAAAAAAAATTCAGTAAAATGGCCTGTGTATACTAGCATCACCTATCGCTTCTTCCGTTTTCAGCTCTCTTTTCTGAGGCAAATTCGGCAAGATCATTGCTTCTAATATTGCAGGAGAAATTAGAGATTTTTAGCACATCAAAAGGAGAGCTTCACGGGTGCGACCAAGCAGTCTTAGCACTGTTGCAGCAATATGATGTCCAGTCAGCCCAGAAAGAGCAAGCTGTTCATTTGGCAATGCATGTTCAATGTAATTGTCTGGTAATACAATTGGCCGCCACTGCAGAAGTCATGGGAAAAAAAAACTGCAATGAGGACAGGGCCTTTTCAAATATCTTTGCAGCATATGGCCTTGTCTTTTTAAGGCAATCTTAACAAAAGTGAGAAATTGTTTGGTTTTTGGTTCTTTTGTTAGTGAATTTACTCATGCACTTGACAGTAATGATACAGGTTAAAAAAAAAACAACCATGATGAAGTTCACCTGCAAAATAGCTTGCCTGAAGCCTTAATTGGCTATTCTTCTGGCCATCTTTTTCAGTGTCAGTCTTTCAAGTTTGTGCAGAGAATAAAATACAATCATAAACAGAGTGCCATTCATTACCTTGACAAATTAAGTAAATAAACTGAAAGGTGTTCATATGCCGGAGATGTGATTCTTTGAGTTCCTACTTGCTAGTAGCTTGGTCGAGTTGGTATCCTGCATGCACTTGAACCTTTGTTTCTTACTTCACAAAACAGTCGGTGACTGTCTAAAGTATTTAACTTCACAGATTAATTTGACTTCAAAGATAGTAGAAATAAAGTGATGTGTATATTGAAACTAGGAATTCTTCCAAGATGCTTCGAGTTTTAATTCAAACATACTGGAATTGTATATCTCATTTAATTTGACTTTCGACTATCATATCCACAGAAAGTGTAAGAAGATCAAGAGGAGATGATTCCGCAGAAGTTGGAGCTCTTAGTATTTAGTAGCTCAGACAGCGAATAACACTAGCAGAATTTTGTTGAGCAGAATTCTGTCTGGCAGCAATTGTATTACAAATGTTTGCAACGCATGAGATTTGAAAAAAAGGTTTATGTTTCAGTTGTTTTTTCTATTGCACTGATGGTTGAACTGTTGCGATTATGAACTGTATATAGATTGCGGGGCACTAAATATACCAACGAACGTACATTAGATTTAGTTTGTTCTTGGCAGTACTGCAAGGGTGTATGATTTAGTGATCCTTGCTCCTGCAAAGCATCAGATATATGAAATGAAATATAGAGTTCAGTTCTGCCTATGTCACTTCATGAGAAATGGAATTTAAGGCACGCCAATCTCTTTTTTGTTTGTGCCACAAATTTACGCAAAAACCATCAAATGGCCTCCTCTATTGTGGTCCTTCTACAGCTCCACTGGGTAGAGGTCTCTTCTTCGAGTACATATGTCGGTGGGACTAATTAGACATGGAAATACAACATTACTAAGAATCTAGTTAAGGGATTCGAATTCAAGACCTTAACTGCATGAGCCTGAACTAATCCTTTGAAGCAGCCGTCGTCTTGCTGGCTAACACGAGCTACTTGGCTAAATGAGCCTGACCCGAACCAATTCGTGGGAGCAGCCGTTGTCTTGTTGGCTGTAACATGTTAATCAAGCTAATATATGTAGCAAACTTGGTCCATCCAATTTCAGTGCCTCAACAAAACAATCACTATATGTTTGAGTATGCATGTTGGATAGCACTGCATCTGAGTCAAAGAAACCTGCAGAAACAGAAAACCTAATAGAATGGGAAAACAATATGAATTAGGAAAAAAAAAACACACACACTAAAGCCAGAAAAGAGTGTGTATGGTCACTCTGCCATAGCAAGGAGAGATAATTTGGCATCTATGATTAATATACATGGGGGGAATGTCTTCCAAGTAAATCCCTACAAATAAGTTGACTTCTGTTGAGAAAAATTAGAGCCCCAGGGCTCACATTGAAAGTAAATAACCGATTAAAAGACAAGCATTAATACAAAGTCTTGTGCATTTACATCATTCAAATGAAAAATAAATAAATAAAAGTTGGAAATTTTGGGTTTGAACAGCCAGCCACATGATGCACTGCTTGTCAGAGATTCAAAGATGTTGACAAGCCATGGTAGCAGATATAAGTAAACTCAGCACAAACTGAGCCTGAACACAGACAGGTACCCCGTAGTCCAAAACTATAAACTAGAGGTAACTGTGGACATATCTCAGATGGATATTCATAATACTTGTGCTACATTTTAATCATTGATTACTTGGAAGCTATAGCATGAAGAAAATAAAGCAAGTCATGGCGAGCTTTATTATATATTTTGTTCAAAACAATTTGTGTAAATCCAGAATTCTGCAAGAGGCAATTGAAAGCTCTAAGCATGCTGATTTATGTCTGGATTGCAGGTTTCTAGTTCCTTTACAACTGATAAGTGATCTTTAAAATACTTTTAGTTCTAGTTATGATAGAATCTGCACATTAGTTGATTTTAAGGTTATTTGATTGTACAAATCGCGTAAGCAGGATAAGCTCCAGCTTTAGTTTCCTATTTATCAATTATATTCTTCATTTAACAGAAAATAAAATAAAGCTTAGCCTAGCCTAGCCTAGACATAAGCATTTGAAGCAATCTGCAAATTAAAGAATATGTACGCATTAATTTTAGAATTAAAATCATCTCCTCTACTTAAAAAGCTCTAGAACAATTAACCAGTCCTGAGTTCTTATACATTAAGTTGTAGCCTAGCCTAGCCTACACATAAGGCCAGATCCTGAACAAGGCATATGCCTCAGCATAGATATCTAAAATCTAGCCAGGATAGCCAGGCTCAGTGTGACTGTGAATTAATGCATAGATTTGATAGTCATCTATGAAAAATCAAAGAAGATTAAAGTATAAGAATTCAACATACCTCCCTGCTGGTTCCCCATTGCCTCAATCTGTTGTTTATGTTCTGTACACTGATTTTCTTCAGTTATTACATGTATCAAGACAGGGCCCGTTGACTCCAGAGTTGACACTTCTTGTAAAACACAAACTAAATCTTCAATATTGTGTCCATCAACAGGGCCTATGTAGTACAACCCAAGTTCTTCGAAGAGAGTTGATCCCAGCGGACCCATCATACCACGTGCATACTCATCAACTTTAGCTGCTAATTCATACATGCCTATCCTCTTGGTAACACCCTTGACAAGAAACAAGGAAAGAAAGAGCATTCAATTGAATGAAAACAATAATACATGAAGTTAAAACAAGATATAAAATCTGACTGAATTTTGTTGCGCTACTTATTGCAATAGAGATTTCTAAATTAACTCAAAAAAATGTATCTTCAATTACAGAAAATTTCCATTCTCTCTAAGCAATTTTATCAGTTAATGATCCTAATACAAGCTTAGTCATGTAAGCAAATGGAAACTACTGAAAGCACCTTAGCAACTTCTCTAAGCCTCCGGAATGATTTGCTTGACTGGAGCTTGCTTAGGGTACTAGATAGAGCATTGATTGAAGTCTTGGAGCCCTCTTCAATCTGGGGGTGTAAAGAGTGTCGGCTGTCATTTAAAATCACTATCATATTTGAGTCTAAATAGCCTGCATTGCCCATTGCTTCATAGACCTGACCAGCCATGGTTGTGCCATTGCCAATGACTGTAACAATACGTTCCCGCTTCCCTTTAATATCACGAGCAACCGCCATGCCTGGTGAGAAACTAATTAAATTCCATGTTTTAAAGTTTATTTGTAATAGTAATACTGGAGCATATAAGCAAGAGTTTTACAACTTGATTCAGAGCTATGTACAACATAAAAGCTAAAGTTAACAGCCTAAACTTGGACAGCTGATTTCATTTGCTGACAGGACAGCACACTTACTAATAATATTTCCAGGGTAATAAGCATGAGTGAAAGAGATGTCCTCGGTGGATCTATGAAATGCAGTGCAAGAACTTCAGGACAGTATGCTCATTCAGACAAGTGAGCAAATAAAAGTTGAGAAAAGTATAAGTAGCTGAGGACATGGCATTTTACCAAGTCCAGCAGAAATACTGTTGCATCCATGTCCTGCTCCAAATGGGTCATATTCACTCTCAGACCGAGATGTAAATCCAGAAAGACCATCCTTTTGTCTTAGTGTATGCATAAGAGATCTCCTTCCGGTGAGAATTTTATGTGCATATGTCTGCCAACAAGAAACAAGGAACTAACTTAAAAATGGACCAGATTGTCACTCAAAACTAGCCATTTCCATATACAAAAGGCCACTTTTTTGAATTATTCTTTGGTTCAGACGCTGCCCACCCAGTAACATCAACAAATTCGCAATCCATCCCCATTCTAAAAAATATTTATAAAAGAAATCAATAGCCATGCTAACAGCCCCTTATAGGGCTGCACAACACAAACAAACAAATAAACAGACCCTGATAAGCATGCTATAATCTACTCTTTGATGACTATGCAGTCCTCCATAAAGAACAGAATCAGCTGCGAATCTTACTTGTTCCCCAACATCCCACAGTATCTTGTCCACTGGAGCATGAAAAACATGGTGAATTGCAACTGTCAGTTCAACCGCTGCCAAACTGGCCTTACAGTCATTTTGTGCCTTTGACATTATGGAAGACAGCACTGATCGTATTTCACTAGCTAATAGTTTCAGTTCCTGCATAGACCAATCCTTAATAGGTAAAGAAGCTGAAATATTAATAGTATGAAACACGTCTGGAAAATGGAGAAAGTTCATGAACTAACGTTAATAGTTAAATTCTTCAAGTGGATAGGGTTTTCAACCACATCAAGCAATGGTGTTGCAATAATATCCGAAAATATATCATCAATATCAGGTTGAGCACGTATTCTACGAAAACACACCTGTATCAAGAACAAATCCTCCATAATTCAAAACATTAATTCTTCCATAGTTTCATGCATTTCTGCCGTGACATTTGCATGTATCATCAAATTCTCTCGATTATCTTTTCTAGAAATCACACTCATTTTGTCTGCTTAATCCATGCCATTAGCAATTGAATGTAATCAAAATTGTCAAAACAACACAGCCATATCACAAAATAAACACCCCCAAGTACATATTATTTCCTCTATCTCCATTACATTACAGCATATTCAACAGGGTTTTTGTTTCACTTCTTTCCTAAAAAAATGGACTAATCAATTGTGCATGTAATTTATAAAGACAATCTTTATCACATACCTTGGAGTCAGTGGTGGAAACAGAAGTTGGATACAAGTTAAATCTTGATATCTCCACTTTATAATGAGAATTAGAGCTTGAAATCTCCAATTTGTGACCGAATTTCACAAAAGAATGTGAAGTAATTCCATATGGGTACTGAGTGTGGTGGATTTACGGCAATTCCATAAGGGTACCGAGTAATTGCAGTACTCATCAAGAAAAATAACAAAAACCCACCCCTCAATGTTCAATATCAAAGTTCAACATTTGTCCCAAAAAGCACAAAAAGATCAATGCTTGATTGCTTAAAAGCTCACTCGACCGAGCAGGATTTAATGACTTAAAATGTGAAAAATGATTCTAGGATTCTGCAGATAAGACACGAGAAAAGTTGCCAAGAAGGGTAATTCAACAAAATGGTTGGAATCCATATGGAATAAGTGAAATAATTAATAAAATTTAGACAAGGAAAGTAGAGAGATGACAAAGGGAGCATAATTTGAGGTTGTTATGGCATCAACTGCTAGAGGAAAGCAGGCGAAGAAGGAAAGGTCAAATTATTGGTGGAAACTGGAAAGGTGAACGTTGATTTTAATGGCCTGGAAAGGTGAAAGTGAAAAAAATAGGGATGAAATTTGATTAAAAAAAATTAAAGATGAAATTATAAAAAAACAATTTAAAAAGTTTTCTCAAGCATAAAAATAAAAATGCGGACCAACTTAAAAGATGAAAAGATTTCAAGGGGTTAAAATTGAAAAAAAAAATTATATTTATAAATTATTTTAAATAAAATAAATAATAATTAAAAAAATAAAAACTAAATTAAATAAAATCTTTGACCACAGACGCTGCTTCATCAGCATGTGGTATTAGGAAAGTCATATTCATTAATTAATACTTCCAAGGTTGTTAAAATCATTAATTAATTTATAAAATTATATGATTTTATGAGTTAATATATATATTTAATATACAGAATTATTTTCAAAACTCAAAAATTAATAAAATTAAGTTGAAATCAATAAAATCAAATGAAATCACGAATTTAATAACGATTTTATAATTTTAATAAAAACATATACTGCATTGTAATAATACAATATATGTTTTTCCCAACCAATAACAACATGCCATTTGTCCACACAAAAGTTGTGCTCCCAGGCGCCAGCAATGCAAAAGTGCCCTCTTGACTTCAGAACTTATCTAATAGTGTGCTGGTGTGGAGGGTTGGTGATTTTTGTCAAAGATATAATAGTTTTCAAGTACGAATTATATTTTTAAAAATTATAAAAATATGTTTTGTTTTTAAAAAATAAAAGCTATTTCTTATTCAAACATCCTTTAAAAGTATTAGTCAATGTGATTTTATGTAACATTTTTTAAAATTTATTTTTATTTAATTATATAAACATTAAAAAATATATTCACAAAAAAATAGGATAGAAATTATAAGTTAAAATTATCTCTGCTAACAAGAAACACGGTTTATGAAATAAAAACCAATGACAATTAAATACTTGTTAGATTCTAATAACTTGAATTAAAGAGGAAAGAAAATGTTTATCTTTATAAATTATTTTAAATAAAATAAATAAAAATTAAAAAAATAAAAATCAAATTAAAAAAAATCATGTCAAATAATCTTTAACCACATACGCTGCTTCATCATCACGTGGTACTAGGAAAGTCATATACAGAAGGTTTATTTTGTTGGTCTGTAACTTTTATGTTGCTACACGCGTTGTTTTATCACAGAGAGGATTGCGAGATTAGTTAATATTGTTATTGGGCTCTCTGAAGTTGTTAAAATCACTATTTAATTTATAAAATCATATAATTTTATAAGTTAATATAGCAGAATTATCTTAAAAATTTAAAAATTAATAAAATTAAGTTGAAATCAAGTAAAATCAATAATAATCATAAAAAAACACAAATTTATTAACGATTTTACAATTTTAATAAAAACATATACTGCATTTTAATAATACAATATATGTTTTTCCCAACCAACAACAACATGCCATTTGTCCACACAAAAGATGTGCTGCGCCAGCTACACCCCAAAAGGGATGACATCTGTTGCAATAGTGCACTTCCTTATCAGGCTCGATTCCAAATATATGCCCTTTTGCCTTCATTTCAGCGGGCATGATCTGGACTTAGTTAATGTTTTTCATGAATGTTAAGAGTACAAGCCAATATGATTTTGTGTAATATTTTTTTAAATTTATTTTTATTTAATTATATAAATATTAAAATATATATATTCATAAAAAAATATAAAATATGATAAAAATTATAAGTTAAAATTATCTCTGCTAACAAGAAACACGGTTTATGAAATAAAAACCAATGACAATTAAATACTTGTTAGATTCTAATAATTTGAATCAAAGAGGAAAGAAAATGCTTATCTTTATCTTTAATAAAAACTCAATTTCTTTCTTGTTTTTTTAATATATATATTTTTTTATTTTGATGTATTAATATTAAAAAAATATTATTTTAATATATATAAATTTTTATTTCAACCATTTATTTTAAAATATCTAAATTATATATAAATTTTTATTTAAATTATATATTTTAAGGTATTTGAATAATGTATAATTTTTTTTATATATAATTTTATAATTTTTTTATGATTTAAATTTGTTTTATATATTTTTTTAAAATATATTTTTAACCACCTTTGGCACACTATAGGTCATGTTTACGGTCGTGTTTACGTAATTAACTGACTCCGTTGGTACTCGGCAGGCATATGCCACGCGCATTTCATGCCACGCGCATTCCATGCATACACTGGATAGCCATCATGTGCAGATAATTTGGTGCCTCAGGTAACTGGGGAAGGTGTGGCAGCAGCCATATTAGCAAAAATAAAATAAACATAATACAAATACAATCTTAATTAGATAAATTATTTAATCATATTTATTTGTATTATGTGAGTTCACTCTATTTTACTATTTTTTTTATTAATATAAAATTTATCGTTCATAATCAAAATAAATTACTATTAAAATAACTAAAAAGCATAATTAGACTTGACTTATCCTTCTAGGTTACTACACACACACACACTAAAGCCAGAAAAGAGTGTGTATGGTCACTCTGCCATAGCAAGGAGAGATAATTTAGCATCTATGATTAATATACATGGGGGAATGTCTTCCAAGTAAATCCGTACAAATAAGTTGACTTCTGTTAAGAAAACTTAGAGCCCCAGGGCTCACATTGAAAGTAAATAACCAATTAAAAGACAATCATTAATACAAAGTCTTGTGCATTTACATCAAATGAAAAAAATAAATAAAAGTTGGAATTTTTGGGTTTGAACAGTCAGCCACACGATGCACTTGTCAGATATTCAAAGATGTTGACAAGCCATGGTAGCAGATGGCATAACCCAATTTTGGCCCTTTGGTTTCTAATTTAATTTTTATAGGGTTTAAAATGAAAAATTAAAATATCATAGATTTATTTCAATGAAAAGTATGATTTGTCAACTTCTGTGAAAATTAAGGATTACAATATGCTTTTGTCATTCTATCTTTATCTTCAAGATAATCTTTATCTTCGAGATAATCATAGTCTTTAAGATAATAATAGTTGTCCGCTTTCAAATTTGATTCTTAATCAAATTCAAACTTCAAAAAAGAGAATGAGTTTGATTGAAACTTGGTTTCTCACATGCGAAGGGACTCTGGCACTATAAATACAGATCTTAGGGGGGAAGGAAAAAAAAAAGGATGAACCCGAGAACAGAGAATTAACCTAGAAAAACAGAACAAAAGAAAGAAAAGGAGGAGGGAGGATGATTAGAGAGAAACTCTAAAAGAAAAAACCTTAAGAGGAGACCATTACCAGAAACCTTAAAAGAGAAAAACATAAAAAAAAGGGGGCGGCGAACCCTATACTAGCCGCCGCCCCTCTCAATCCTTTTTCTTCCCAGTCTCCCTCGACTTTGCCTTTAGCAGCCACATGCCTAGGTAAATTTCCTTCTTTTCTTGCTAAAATAATTAATTTGATATTGTGTTTGCTAGGGGTGTGCTTGGAAAAAGAGGACAGAGAGGAGGAGGACTATAGGGACACCAAGAGGAAAACAGAGGAAGAGAAAATAGCATCAGCAGGCCGACCCTCCACTGTCATTACCATCTTTAATTGCAGCACCAGATAAGTTGCTCTTTCCCCAAAGAAACCTGCAGAAACAGAAAACCTAATAGAATGGGAAAACAATATGAATTAGGAAAAAAAAAACACACACACTAAAGCCAGAAAAGAGTGTGTATGGTCACTCTGCCATAGCAAGGAGAGATAATTTGGCATCTATGATTAATATACATGGGGGGAATGTCTTCCAAGTAAATCCCTACAAATAAGTTGACTTCTGTTGAGAAAAATTAGAGCCCCAGGGCTCACATTGAAAGTAAATAACCGATTAAAAGACAAGCATTAATACAAAGTCTTGTGCATTTACATCATTCAAATGAAAAATAAATAAATAAAAGTTGGAAATTTTGGGTTTGAACAGCCAGCCACATGATGCACTGCTTGTCAGAGATTCAAAGATGTTGACAAGCCATGGTAGCAGATATAAGTAAACTCAGCACAAACTGAGCCTGAACACAGACAGGTACCCCGTAGTCCAAAACTATAAACTAGAGGTAACTGTGGACATATCTCAGATGGATATTCATAATACTTGTGCTACATTTTAATCATTGATTACTTGGAAGCTATAGCATGAAGAAAATAAAGCAAGTCATGGCGAGCTTTATTATATATTTTGTTCAAAACAATTTGTGTAAATCCAGAATTCTGCAAGAGGCAATTGAAAGCTCTAAGCATGCTGATTTATGTCTGGATTGCAGGTTTCTAGTTCCTTTACAACTGATAAGTGATCTTTAAAATACTTTTAGTTCTAGTTATGATAGAATCTGCACATTAGTTGATTTTAAGGTTATTTGATTGTACAAATCGCGTAAGCAGGATAAGCTCCAGCTTTAGTTTCCTATTTATCAATTATATTCTTCATTTAACAGAAAATAAAATAAAGCTTAGCCTAGCCTAGCCTAGACATAAGCATTTGAAGCAATCTGCAAATTAAAGAATATGTACGCATTAATTTTAGAATTAAAATCATCTCCTCTACTTAAAAAGCTCTAGAACAATTAACCAGTCCTGAGTTCTTATACATTAAGTTGTAGCCTAGCCTAGCCTAGCCTAGCCTAGCCTCTACATAAGGCCAGATCCTGAACAAAGCATATGCCTCAGCATAGATATCTAAAATATAACCAGGATAGCCAGGTTCAGTGTGACTGTGAATTAATGCATAGATTTGATAGTCATCTATGAAAAATCAAAAATGGACTAATCAACTGTGCATATAATCTATAAAGACAATCTTTATCACATACCTTGGAGTCAGTGGTGGAAACAGAACTTGGATACAAGTTAAATCTTGATATCTCCACTTTATAATGAGAATTAGAGCTTGAAATCTCCAATTTGTGACCGAATTTCACAAAAGAATGTGAAGTAATTCCATATGGGTACTGAGTAATTGCAGTACCCATCAAGAAAAATAACAAAAACCTACCCCTCAAAGTTCAACATTTGTCCCAAAAAGCACAAAAAGATCAATGCTTGATTGCTTAAAAGCTCACTCGACCGAGCAGGATTTAATGACTTAAAATGTGAAAAATGATTCTAGGATTCTGCAGATAAGACACGAGAAAAGTTGCCAAGAAGGGTAATTCAACAAAATGGTTGGAATCCATATGGAATAAGTGAAATAATTAATAAAATTTAGACAAGGAAAGTAGAGAGATGACAAAGGGAGCATAATTTGAGGTTGTTATGGCATCAACTGCTAGAGGAAAGCAGGCGAAGAAGGAAAGGTCAAATTATTGGTGGAAACTGGAAAGGTGAACGTTGATTTTAATGGCCTGGAAGGTGAACGTTGCTTTTAATAGCCTGTTTGTTATTTAAAAAAAAAATTCTTTTATTTATTTTAAATTAATATATTTTTAGTATGTTTAAATTATTTTGTATAATATATTAAAAATAATTTTAAAAAAATAAAAAAATATTATTAATATATATTTTAATATTAAAAATTATTTAAAAAGTAACTATAACTATATTTTCAAATAACTTCTAAATAAATTCTAAATATAAATATTTTATAGATTAATTAGATTTTAATTTAGTATTTTGCTTTCGATGATATTGGGCTTATCAAACGTGCCTTGAATCAAGTTTATAAAAGAGATGGAAAAAGAATTCTAATCTTTTATATAAATCTTGAAATAGAAAACTATAGAAAATATATTTACTGATTGAAAATGAAAATTTTTCCTTTTAAAACATGTTTTTTTCTCATTTTCCTAGAAAATAAAAGAAAATACTTTAAAGTTATAATGAAGTTAAAATACCAAGATTGGAGTTGATGATAATCTATTTTATAGAAATTGAATTATTCCTCTGTTTTCTTTGAATTAATCTTATGTTTATGTGAGTATAAAACGTGGGTAAATTGCTACCTTTTTTTATTATTATTATTGGAAGGGGCGTTGGACCCTGGGCAAGCTCTACTTCATTACATCAATCAAATAAACTATAATTGCCAGACTTGAAACTGCTTCACTGAAACAAATAAATGATGGGATACATTTTTTTTTTAAAAAAAACCATCATTCTTTTTTGTGTTTTCAAAGAAAATGGTCTTCAATTTGAAGCAAAATTAATCTCATATTTAATTAATCACTGAGTTTTGTAACATAAACCTATGATTACTTGAAACTTAAAAGGGATCTAGGGAGATGTTACACTACAAGATACAGAAAGGATCTTGAACTCCAATCTTTTTGTTCAAGGAATAGAAAAATTAAAAAAAAATAATAATATATTAGTTTTCAAGATTGCCAAATTTTGTTAAATGATTTTTGGCAGCATTACATTGTTGATGTTGTAGTTAAAAATAATATAATAATCTCTTTATAATAAGATTTTTTTTTAAAAAAAAGTAATTATAAAAAAATTGATAAGAGATTAATAACCTCTCTCTCTCTCTCTCTCTCTCTCTCTCTCTCTCTCTCACACACACACA